CTACCAAAAGAACAGTGCCTGGTCCACGACAGATGTTCAAAATACATTTCCTCATCTCATCAACCCTGACATGTCCTACTGTCCCTATTTTACAGGTTAGAAAAGTGGAGGACCCAGCGAGAAGTGGCTTGTCCAAGGTCACACCACTTCTCACTCCTGTTTGCCTGCGTGGTTTTGCTGCTTCCCAATATTAAGGTGACAAAGTTAAGTTTTATTTAATGCTTTGGTTCTTACAACTCTCCATCTGGTTATCCTCCACTGCCCTTGGTTTTTAAAAGCCTCAACAGAAGTCTACCAAGGACAACTTGGCAACATCTGTCTAGGAGTTTGCCCTACAGATATGTTCAGGTATGTGCAAAATTATATATACATGCAAGGGTTTTTCATTACAGTGCTGCAGTAGCAGAAGTTTGGAATGAACTTCTGGGTCCATAGGGTTATGTATGTATTCACAGTGGGTGTGCAGATGGTGGAATACCATGCAGCCCTGAAAAGGAGGAAGAATTTCATGTTCTGATTGGAAGGCTGTCCAAGGGACAGTATTACAGTAAAAGGGGGGATATAACAGCAGTGTATGCCTTTCACTTCATTTTCCCAAAGAGCTGAATACCATTTAAGTCGTTTATAAAGAGATCATCTCAATGAAAAGATAAAGAAAATGCAAATCAGAATAGCGGGGTGGTTTCCATCATTTGAACTTATTTTATTGGTACTCATTAGCAAATAAAATTTTGTTGGTTTTAGATGCATTACAACACACTTTTTTTGGTAGTGGTTGCACAATGTTGATCGTTTATTGGCTATACTAAATACTGCAACCTCTGAATTGATTTTTACACTGGTATTTCCTTTGTGATGGGGGTGGCTCCTGTCTCTGAATAAAGTGGTCCATTCAGTCCATGGTTTTCATATTCCTTTGTTATTCTACCTACTGCCTTAAAATACATTCAAATAAAAAGATAGATTTTCCTCGCAGTGAGGGCTCACCTACCACAGCGAGGAGAGTGGAAAATATAGCCAACACTCTTGTGTTCAGAGAATAGTCTGAAATTGTGGGACCAAAGCTTGCTCCTAGGGGCTTTCTCAAAGTATCTTTAGTGGACATAAGGTCACACTCACTCAACTGAAGAACACATCTTTTTCTGAGGGGGTGGGGAGAGGAGGGGGGAGTGCAAAATGGTAATTTTATTTGCATACGATGTTATCCTTGCATAAATGTCTGGAACAAGTGGCCACAGAGCACCGTGATGTGCAGTGCAGTCCTCAGATTAGAATAAATAACTTGCTTGGATTGGAAAGCCACACACACACTGTGACCGAGCTGAAGAGGACAGAGGGTGTTTGTTGAAAATACAGCACACACAGATAATAAATAAAGGTTCAAAACAGTCAGCTCCCTTGTTCATTCACTGTTCTGACTGCACTTGTCCCTTTTCCTAAAGATACGAAGTGGCACAAGGACACCAGAGCTTTGCTGTGATCTCTCTGTCCTGAACCAAGAGGGCCAAACGTGGGGACATCGAATGGCTGCGGCAGAAGACACAGCCGGGAACGCACATGCACCAGGCTTGTAAGGACCAGAAGCAGCCGACGGCCAAAGCCTCGTTTCTCCGAGAACCGGGTCGGTACTACCCTTGGCTGTGGTTCTGCTCTTTGTTAAGAAATTTCATTCACCACCTCTCCCCCAACCCCCTTTCCTTAGGATCCTATTGCTAAACTCCTGCTGGCTCTGATCTTCATCGGTTCGGCTGGGACACTGGGTCTCAGAAACACGCTGCTATCTCACTAGTGACTTGGTTCTTCTGACACTTGTATTTCAGTGTCACAGGACCATGGGAGAGCATCCACTGTGACTTCCCATCCAGTACCATTACTTCCCTGCATATTAAAAAAAAAAAAAAGGGAAAGACAAAACAAATCACACAGGACACACGAGGGCTGCCGACCAAACGGTGCGGCAGGAGTATAAATACATTCTCTTTCTTGCAGGTCAGACGTCTGGCCTGACAGCGGATTACAAAACACGGAAGGATGACTCCAGGTGAGAGGCAGAAGAAAAAGTCACACCTCTGAAGGAAAAGCGACCGTCTGTTGGGGCCCGAGCAGTGATGGTCTTGAAGCTGAGGGGACCCAAGAAGGAACAGCCGCCCCGTCGTGAAAGCTACAGCAGCTGCGCGTGGCCGCGGACGGAGGTCCCTCACGCTCCCACGGGGCAGGCCAGGTGAGGCGTCCCAGACACGGCGCAGCAGAGCCATCGTGCCTCGTGTTCCCTGGTTTCCTATCCATAGGATAAGAACACACTTAGGGGTTTCAGTGCTTCTCAGATGAGAGGAGGAGGAAGGCCACCCGGCGGCCCGGCCCCCGGGAGAGCGATGCCCGTGCGGGGGCCCTTCCTGCGGTGTCCAGAACGGACAGGGCAGACGCAGGTCTCCAGGTCCTATGTACACATCTTACAGTCTCCACTCTCCCCTCATTAGGCACGAGGTTGACGGGTCAGGAGGGGACGGACAGAAGGGAGAGCGCACAGTGCAGGGGGGAGAGGGAGGAGGAAGCCAGGTCGGCCTCCTGCAGGAGAAGGGCCTCCTCCCCGCCTCACCGTAAGCTAGTCTGCTTGGGGAGCTGAGCACCCATCAGGATGCCCGAGGTGAGCGTCACGGGGGCTCTCATCTGCATGCTGGACCCCACCATGGTGGGGAAGCTGCGATTCCGTCGGATGCCACTGCTGAGCTGGAGCCCGCCGATGGCACTGGTGACAGTGGGGCCTCCGGGGACCAGGGTCTGTGCAGGGCCCGGGGGCCCACAGAGGAGAGGTCCCTGGTCCTCAGTCAAGGTGGGGACGTGAGCCCGCCCTGAGTTCACCACTTTGGCCACACCAAACCTCCTGACTTTGTCCACGAGGTTGAGGTTGGAGACAGACACGTCCGTCTGGCTCTCGCTGCTCCGGACCGTCTTCTTCTCCCTCACCTCCCTCAGGATGGAGCTGGCCGGCTTGGAAGCCAGGAAGTTGTCGTAGGGAGGGCTCGTGCACTTGAACTCGAAGGATGGCGGGGAGGATGTGGGCGTCTGCATAGGCGAGTTGGGCGGGGTCGAGGGGATGACAGCCATCCGGGGGGTGCAGGAGTGCAGCAGGGAGCCCCGGCCCGCCCGGTCCCAGCTCTGGGGGTTGTACACAGCCGCGGAAATGCCCCGCTCCTTCAGCAGCCACACCAGCCCCAGGGACGTGCTCATGGTGGTCGTGGACTCTCGGACGTTTGTGAAGGACTCAGCCAGGCTCAGTCTCCGCGGAGTGCACGGTGTGGCCACCGGCGTGGATTTCAAGTGGCTGGCGCTGCCACAAGCAGGAGTTGGGGCCGAGTTAAGGCTGGTAAGAAGACAGGTCACGCGTCAGAAATGCCTGCGGGCACCGTGGAAAGGGGCGCTGGCCGGTGTCCTGCAGGGCGCAGGGCAGGCCTGGGACAAGCTGCGGGGACTCCCTGGAGGCCTTTTTCCAGGTCTGCTCTGAGGGGCCGTGGATCCCCTCAGTGGCAGGGGAGGGGTTAAGTTAACAGGAAGCTGCATGTGCTTCCCGTCTCTCAGCCCCAGACAGCAGGAACAGTCGTCCCCTTTGCAGGCGAGGAAACTGAGGTCGGGTCGGGTGGCTTACTGACATCACACTCAGCTACGCAGTGGAAGACCCTGGATTTGAACCCACATCTGAGCGACCCCAAAGGATAGGAGAGGAAGCCCTTTAGCAGAGGCTTTCTTCCCCCACAACACTGACTCAGATTCCAGCGTTCCCTCCTCATCCCCACTGCCCTGAGGCAAGAAGTTAGCCAAGTCTAGGGGATAGGGGAGCGTAGCCTGGGATGGGCTGATCCCAGGGGAGGGCCCTGGGGTGACAGGGAGGCTGAAGGCAGACCCCAGCCTCCTGACTCCCACCCCAGTGCTCTTCCCTCTGCCCCTGCTGCGCATGCCTGCTTTGATGAGTAGAGTCACAGGGGCAGAGGGAGGTACGTCAGGTATGACCAGACCTCCGTCTATGGAGATCCACCATCCGGAGAAAGAGCCACTGGCTCTATGAAACCTGGGGACGAAAGGAAAGCAGAAAGAGTCCTTCCTCTGCTCCTGGCATGTTGACTGCAGACCCACTGTGTTCTAGAAGCTGGGATCCAGCAGTGAGGGGAGCTGGGGCAGAAAGTATAACCAAGGGGCAGCAGCGGGGAACACAGTGCTGTCAGCCTGAAAACCAGCAGAGACAGGGATGGGGGGCAGCCCCACAGCACAGAGGCCCTGCCCCGCTGCTGGCTGAGCCACCAGGGGGAGGGGGCAAAGAACCCCCACCTCCTGACAGCCTCATGAGACCTGCCATGGCAGGGGCTACAGGGGGCCCCTTGGAACAGGCAGCTGGGTAGTCCCCAGGGGCTAGACGTCAGCGCCCTCTCTCCCCTGCCGGACAGGACGGCTCTGGAGCAGTTTCCTGGAGTGAGGGGAGCAGGGCAAGAGCAAGTACAGGCTGAGGTGTCACTGGGCCCTGCCTCCCAGCCCCAGCCCGTCTCACACAAGCTCGAGTGGGGATGCGGGGGTAGGAGCACGCAGAGGAACATGGGATTAGAAACCACAGCAGATTCCTAAGGTTAAAAGGTGGGCTCGTACAAAGGCACCGGAGGAATTCTACAACAGACTGGTCGCCAAGCAAGGGAGGGCCAAAAAAGTCTGGACTTAGACGCCTGTTCTGAGAGCCATGCCCGGGGAGGTTACCATTTTCTGTCAACCTGCCATTCTTTCCCACGCCAGCAACAAGCCCTCCCTTGCCACCGCCGTCTCAGGCGTTTTCGTCCCTGACCAAGCCCAGTGGACTTGCGGCTTTGAGTCCCAGGGAGCAGCTCTGCCCGCTGGTTTTAAACACGACCTCTTCCAAACAAAGCCGAGGGCAGGGGAAGCCGGGCTCCCAGGGGCAGGAAGGGAGAAGCTGTGGTTTAGAGACTCCCTTCTGGTGAGAACCTCGGTTAGGCCCGTATTAGTGCAGGCGCCCGGCTCACCGGGGGCATTGAGACAGGTTAGGGGTATCCAGTGTCAAGGCCGAGTTAGCCAGGCACAAGGACAGAGACACACCCCCGCCTGCGTCCCGGGTTAGTGGCGGCCACGCGTGCACACACAGCTGGTCCACGCGGCCCCGCCGGGGCAGGCCCTGCGGGCGGTGTGCTCACCGCCTGCCTCGCCCGTGGGCTCACTCTCTGCCCTACACCTCCTCTCAGCTCAACGGGGCAGGGGGCTGCTGCGTCGTCCTCCTCACATGACCTGCGGAGAATCATTCATCGTTGAAGGTGCTCCTGGGGCGGCTGCCCCCTGCGAGCTGGCCCTGTCTGCTTCCCTCCCGGCGGGTTTACCTGTCACTCGCCCTGGCACCTTGCACCAGAGACAAAGGCGGAGGGGGTCACGCCACCATGTGGAGGGAGACCATTTTCACTGGAAGCTGGGAGGGGCCTGAGATCCAGCCCGGCAGGACCCCTCCTCCCTCCCCTTTCCACTGGCCCTGACAGCCCCAGTCGGTGCCAACCTCTGTTGCTTCCTGGAGGCCTGGAGGGAAATGGACTGCGCGGGGCACATGCTTCCATTCCACTTCCATCATTCGGGTTATTACAGTGTGGCTCTGATGCACAGTTCCTGGGCTCAAGTTTAAAGGCACAAGGGCTTCCATTGGGCTCCCGAATTCCCATCTGTGAAGACCTCCATGCTCCACAGGCAAAGTTTGGGGTAAAAACCCAACAGACGTGGCCTTAGGGCCTGGGGTAATGCTCTAAGCTTCAGCAGGTTAAGGAGGGGCCTAAGAATCTTCCACAGCCAATAAAAGGGTAACAAAAGGTGAGTCCTGGTCTCTGTGCTGGATCCGAATCAGTAGGGGTCTTGCTTAAAAAAAACAAAAAAACTGGGGCTCAGAATAGGTGACTGCTTGGGAGATACGTCTGCTCGCTAGAGTTGGTTTTGAACGAGCCTCTCTACTTTGCCTTTCCTCGACATTAAGTCTCGGTGGGAGTGCCCCCACCTCACCCACCCCTGCCCCCACCGCGGCGGGGTCCCTTACCTTGGCGTGACCCGCGTGAGCTCATCTGAAGGGTGCAGGATGCGACAGGTGGTGAAGGTGAAGGTGGAGTTGGTCTGGGACATGCACTTCCCCGGGTGGTGGGCTACATTGGGGGGGAGGGAGGAACAAAACAGAGTCCTTGCATCCAAGTACACCCACGAGAAAAATTAAAACCCCACATGGACAGATGCAAGAAGCGACGAGCTACCTTGTTGACTGGATCTGGGCGAGGAAGTGAAAGACAGATGTTCTGGGTCAAAGGTGGTTCCTCAAAATAACCACACTTCTGAGCACCGGGGTGCAGAGCATCGGCTTCCAGCTTCTGACCCAGTCCAGACAGGGTTTCCCATCAGTGTTCTTTTGGCCAGTAGTGGATCCAGTTTGAAGGGCTAATGGGCCCCTGGGGGTGAATTTGTGTTCCCTCCTCAGAGGTCTTAATCGGCACATCTTTTCTTTTCATTGGCAAATAGATGCTGAACTCTGTTGGGGTGGCGGGGTGCGGGGCGGGGGAGGCTCTTGCTCCTGGGCCCAGGGCAAGGCTCACAGGCTCCCTTTTCTGCTTAAACAAAAAGGGGCTTGAGGAAGCTGGCTCCACTACTGCCTATCTGTGGTCGGCGGGAAGGGAGACAGAGCTTCAGCTGCCTTAGCCACGGGGCAGGAGCCGCAGCGCCCAGGCCGGGCTGACCCTCAGCCTTGGGAGCGGCAGCGGTCCCCTGGGCTGGGTTCCTGCCACCTCTAGGCGGTCTGATTTCTAATACGAATGAGAACAGGGGTCCTCAACTGATTGCCCTTTAAAGCTCTGAAGTGTTGTTAAGGCAGCTGAAGTCTGGGATCTGGAGCAAAGTAAGTCACAGAAGCATTAGGACCACGCGTCAGAAAGCCGACAGGTGATAAGTAAGAAAAGGAGACATCATGATTGCTGCGGTCGTCCTCATTCATAACTCAGGTCAAACAACAACAACAAAAAAAGACAAAAAAAAAAGACACTGCTCCAAAAAGCATGCAAGATGAGGGTGACCCCCCCCGCCCACCCCTCCCCCCCGCAGCAGCTCAGCCCCCAGAGACCTCCTGGGAGAAAACCGATCAGCGCATCGGAGGCCACGAGCACGCTGAAGATTCAACAGGCTGTGAACTAGAATCTTCTAGCTCTTTATGGCAAGTTTTCTCTTGGATTGGACAAGACCCAGAAGAGATCAGTGCCCCAAACCGACAGATCCACACACAGGTGTGACTGTGTTTTTAAAAACAAAACCCAAAAATCTAGAAACCAGATGAAACAAACAAAAAAATTGGAGACACGCAAATTGAAGGCAGGCAGGACAAGGCCAGAGCACAAAAATGGTGGCGGTGACTCAGAAACACGGGACTGGTTTGCCCCAATTATTGTGGTCCGACCCATCTCTCTGTGTCCAGGAAGGCTTCCAAGACCCCTGGCGTGGCAGCCAGCACCACGGCCACAGGGAGCTCCAGGCAAAGCAGGAGGTGGGTGGCCAACACACATCAAAAACAGCCTTGATGCATCGTTTGGTTCTCGGCTAATAAACGTAATGGTTTAAGAACTCAGACAACTGAGAAACCACAGCAAGCCGAACAAAAAGTGGAAGCAGCTATGAAGAAAAGGCAACCAAACAATCACGATTCTCTGACTGCAATAAGATCTAGAAACAAAAGCAACAAAAAACCTGAGAAAAGCATCCCAAATAACAGATGTTGAGAGGTTATTTGGGAGGGAGGAAAGAAAAATGCAGTAAGTACAAGTCATTAAGGCAGAACAGTTGAAACAGAGAACAATTTAAAAAAAATCAGACAAAAGCAAAGGCTGGATTTAAACTTGGAGGCGAGCCCCACTTAAACACGTGGCCAGCGCATCAAATCAAAAGGTCACACATGTTCACTTCCTCCTCCACCCCTTCATGTATTGGAGCTTCGATTGCAGCAGGTAGGGTGAGATGGACATTTTAGAGACACAGCTGCATCAGCAGAAGCAAAACCCATCTTATGCAAATGGGTTTTGGGAATAGGAAAAGGCTGCTAAAATTCAGAGGTCCTCATTCCCCAGAAGCAATGGACAGCTTTAGAAGACCAAGGAAGATCAACAAGTATCAAAAATGCCAAAGCCAGAGGTTCGGCCCCTCCGCAATACCACTGGGACGCCTGGACCCGCCAGCTCTCCGAGTCACCACTGCTCGCCGGGCCACTGCAGCAGCTCCCTTCCTTGGGACACAACACAGAGACAGTGAGTCGCCCGGGCTCCCTGCTCGGCCTCAGAGCCGCGAAGGGCTGAGCCCTCAGCTGTGTGTGCAGGAGATAGCGAGTTCCCAGGGCAGGGAGCGGGGACTCAGGTGAGGGCTCACGACCCCAGTCCCTGATCCCCACCGCACCCCAGGGCCCTTAGGTGCTGCGAGTTCACCTCTTGCTGCTCACCTGGGGCCTCCAAGGACGGGTTTCTTGGATTTAATGCCCTGACTTCCTACTTAAATCCACATTCTTTTTCTCAGTCTGACTGGAGGACCTCAGTATTGTACTGACAAGCATCCACCAAATATTTAGGAATAAACTTGCATTCACCACCCCCACAAAACCTCAATTCTTTATTATTGTAATTTGCACTCATCCCCCAGGTTCTGACGCTGGCACAAAATCCTAATCTATCAAAGAGAACCTTTAAATGTAAGTCATCCTTGATTATTCAAGATGGTCCACGTTGGTGAACTGGGGACAGGTGGCCAGCGGACAGACTTTTTGTTCTGAGGACATGCCACATGCAAACCCACATCTTTCAGCTGCTGCAGTGGGGACCCTGGAGGGCTTTACAGTGGGGAGAGGCACCCCGCGCACTTGCTCCCTGACCGACCCTGGTGTGCGTTCCGCCCGTAGCTGGCTGTGCTCCCCTGGGGGCACGTGGTACCTGGTACCGACTGGAAAGCTGGGTGCTGCTGCAGCCAGTCACAGGGAGCCCTGGCCTGGCCCCCACACTCTCCAGTGGGTTGGGGTTTCCTCCCCCAAGGCCCCTGCAGATCTCACTGAGGAGTATCTGCAAGCGTGCTCTGTAGACCAGGGTGACTGGGGCTTGGTGGAATGCTCGGGTCTCCAGGAAAGATGGGCAGGAAACCCCACGCTCTTCCCGCAGCCCAGGGCACCAATGGAGAGAAGAGGCAACGGACATGGACAAGGGACCTGCAGGACGAGTGGACTCTGCAGCCTGGCCGTCCACATGCTAAGATCTGCACACACCAGCTCGTGCGTGTCAGTCAGTGTGTACCTCCTGCCACTCCCAGGGGGGACCAGAAGCTTTCCTTCTAAAGGCCATCGTAGCACCCAGTCCTTCGACGGACCCTCCCGTGAGCCCACACAGCTGTCAGGGTGCAGCTGTGCCCACTGAGCTTCACAGGGACCTGTGACTTCACACCCAAGGCTGCTTCCAAGGGGACCTCGGGGCACAGAGGAGGGCTGGCCGTGCCACACAGCCAAGCCAACTGTCTGCTCACAGAAGTAACTTATTAAAATATTTTAAAAATGACAAATACACCCCAAGATTTTGGAAAAAGGGGCTCCACCTTTGTGACATGCCGAGCGCCTGCCAGTGTATTCTTTTCCCACTCTTCCCCACCTTGTGAAATAAACAAAATGCCTTGACCTTTTCCCCCTTTTCTTAACTTGAACATGTGGTATGACTCAGATCTGCTCAGCCATTTCTGTAAATTCACCACACACACACCCCCCACCTCCTTTAATTCCCGCCACATCAACAGTAGCACCCAGCGGCCGACCCTTCCTGTCCAAGCAAAAACAAGCCTAGCGAATAAAAGCCTTGTCTGTCAAGCTTAAAGGCATGGCTTAAACTCAGCCCTGAGAACATCAGTACCTTTTTTTTTTTTAAACCTTTTTACCAACTTCTAGTGACTTTCTTGTCTTTTGCTCAAGGGGTAACCACACTGGGGGTGGTGCATCTTTTCCTGTCAGTTTCATATCCATTACAAAGAAAAGAAAAGAAGAAAGCAATGCTTGAGAACTGTTCCTAAAAACTAAACCATCAGGACATAGAAAAATGGCCTAAAGATTTTTTCTGCCACTTCCTTATATAACAATTAACATGATACACCACATTAATAAGAGAAAGGACAGGAGTCACATGATCATGTCAATAGATGCAGAAAAAGGATTTGATAAAATTCAACATCTATTCATGATGAAAACTCTTACCAAAGTGATGGTACGGAGGGAACGTATCTCAACATATAAAAGCTATTTATGACAAACCCACAGCCAGCATAATATTCAATGGCGACAAGCTGAAAGCCTTTCCGCTAAAATCTGGAACAAGACACGGGTGCCCACACTCACCATTTCTACTCAGCACAGTCTTGGAAGTCCTACCACAGCAAACAGGCAAGAAGAAGAAACAAAAGGGACCCAAATAGGAAGAGAAGAGGCAAAACTGTCACTATATGTGGATGACATGATACTATATATAGAAAAGTCTAAAAGCTCTGCACAAAAACTTAAGAGTTGATAAAAGAATTCAGCAAGGTAGCAGGACAGATGATTAACATACAGCAATCAGCTGCATTTCTTTACACTAACAATGAATATCAGAAAAGATAAGAAAAGAAATAATCCCTTTTAAAATTGCATCCAAAAAAATAAAATACTTAGGAATAAATATGACCAAAGAAGTGAAGACTTATACGGGGAGAACTACTAAACACTGATTAAGGAAACTAAAGATGACTTAAAGAAATGGAAAGATATCCCATGTTTTTGGATTGGAAGAATTAATACTGTTAAAATGGCCATACTGCCCAAGGCAATCTACAGATTTAGTTCTATTCCTATCAAATTACCCAGGACACTTTTCACAGAAGTAGAACAAATAACCCTAAAATTTACATGGAATCACTAAAGACCCAGAATTGCCAAAGCATTACTGAAGAAAAAGAATGAAGCTGGAGGAATAACTCCTCCCAGACTTCAGACAATCCTACAGAGCTACAGTGATCTAAACAGCATGGTATTGGTACAAAAAACAGACATATGGATCAATGGAACAAAAAAGAGAGCCCAGAAATAGACCTACAGACCTATGGTCAATTAATCTTCCAC